ATGGGCACAGGACGTCGCCTCGGAACCTGAGTGATGCATCCAGCTCCACTAAGGCCGTGCAGACTCTGGTGTCTACTCCAGTCCAGACATGCAGCTTCGAGGCTCAGGGTTCCGAGATGGTCTCGGGCAGCAGAGCAGCGTCTGAAGGTTGAAATTGCGGCCCATCGAGAGGCCCTCGCAGGTCGACCATGTCACCATAATCCATCCACTGCGTGTGCATTGGTCCAGGCTTCATCCGACCGGTTGGATCGAGCACTGGGGCCTCCCCGTTCTCACCAGTAGCTTCACACATAGGCTCGCAGGTAGCATGACAATCGTCAGGGACGAGAACAGACAAGCGAAGTCGCCGAGAGCTTGGGATAGTAAGCGCTTTGTGGCCGCTGCAGAGTGTTTCGAAGGCGAGTCGTGGACAGACGCGCGGGTAGGTATAATTGGACGGAGCTCATTTCCTGACTGACGCAGAGAAGCTCCGACAGCCAATCGCTACGCCTCGGCCTCGGCACCTGCGACCACCAAAACGACATCGCAGGCCTCTGGTCGGGATCAGGTGACATCGCCCTCGTCTTCAGTGCTCAGGTTCCTTTGTTGTTAGAGCCATCACAGACAGGCATTTCCCATTGAATTCTCCAGCTGTTGGTGCGAGCGCACTCGCTCATTGGGCGCCTGGTGAAGTGCCGACCGACGCTTTCGCCTAACCATCCGTATCAGGTAGACGTAGCTGTGCACGCGTTGGTCGCATTCGCTCTATCAGGTACATGTACCTGAGCAATTATCTCGATGCTCGACATCTGGAAATCACTGTACATACAGTATACACGCAATTCCCTCGATTCAGATGACTAATTCCAGCAGATTGCGTGTTTTTTTATCCTTAGACGATCGACGACATGTCACTTGATGTTCCCTTGTCTACCTAGTATGACACGTGAGAATGCAGCCTCGTTCTACGGCTGTGTCCCACCCAGTGGCCAGCTTTTGCTATGTAGATTCACAGTTCGAGTATATGTACACAGATACATATGCACCCAAGAAGATCTTGTGAGATGCGTATTTACATGTTCGGATTTTCGAGAATATAGTACAGTGAGCTCCTGGCCGTGGCCCCTTTGTGCTTCTCCATGGCCCCATTGTGATGCATATTCGTGCACTTAAAACTGGTCCGCCTGTGCCTGCATCTGTATGGTTCCTTAATAACTGCAGGTCCATCCCATTCCTTATGATACCCAACAATCTCCGGGATTAACCCTATCATGCCCGGGGAGGCTCATTGCTCGAACTGCCTTCAGCCTCGGACGCGCTCGCTTCTTCTAGCGGCTCGGCAGAGCTGAAAAGGGTCTCTTGGGCTATGGCCTCTCTGTTAGTGCCACAGCTCGTATTCCGTGTTCCAGAGAAACAGTCACTTACCACTCCAAAGCTCCGAATACAGGCCACCTCGGTCGATGAGCTCCTTGTGAGTACCTTGCTCTGCAACGCTGCCCTCCCGCAAAACAATGATGAGATCGGCATCGTAGATAGTGCGGAGGCGGTGGGCCACAAAGACACTAGTTCGCGACTTCTCCCGCAGAATGCTGTTGATATTCTGCATGAGGGCCTGCTCTGTATGGGTATCAAGAGCGCTTGTCGCCTCGTCAAAGAAGAGCAGAGGAGGGTCTTTGAGTAGCAGTCGGGATACGGCCAGTCGTTGCTTCTCGCCGCCGCTAATCATCATACCTCGCTCGCCCACCTTAGTATCGTATCCATCAGGCCAAGCCTTGATGATATCGTGTATGTGAGCTCGTCGGGCTGCGGCGAAAAGCTGTTCTTCAGATGCCGCCAGGTTGCCGTACTTGATGTTGTGTCCCACAGTGTCATTAAATAGGGGTGTATCCTGAGGTACAACGCCGATCGACTCGCGAAGGGAATCGACCTGTACACGGCGGATGTCCTGATCATCAATAAGAATCCGGCCTGACTCGATGTCATAGGATCTGAATAGAAGCCGGAGAATCGTGGACTTTCCGCATCCGCTGGGGCCGACGATGGCAACCTTCTTGCCCGCAGGGACCGTCAGGTTCAGGTTTCGCAAAATGGGCCTCTCTTTGTTATAGCCGAAGCTGACATTCTCGAACCTTATCTCGCCTCCCTTCGACAGCTGCAAGGCCTTGGCGTCGGGGTCGTCCTTGATAGTAACATTTACCTTCTGCAAGTTAAACAAGGTCTCCATGTCTAGTAGAGACTGACGCAATTCGCGATACACCGAACCCAAAAAGTTGAGCGGAACAGAGAGCTGAAAAACAAGCTGGTTGACCATGACCAAATCGCCAACCGTCAAGGAACCCTCGGCGACTCCATTGGCTGCTAGATACATCATACCCGTCAAGGCGCTCGAGAAGATGACGTTCTGGCCACTGTTCAGGAAGGCCAAGGAGGTGGCTACCTTGATGGAGCTCTTCTCGTAGTCCTGGAGAGCCTTGTCGTAGCGGGCGACCTCGAACTTTTCGTTGTTGAAGTACTTGACGGCCTCGTAGTTGATGAGGGAGTCTACGGCGACGCTCGAGGCCTTGTTGTCGGCGGCGTTGGCCTGGCGCCGAAACTTGGTCCTCCAAGAGGTTGTCCAGATGGTGAATGCGGTGTAGGTGGTCATGGTAGCCAAGGTGATGGCGGCAAAATTGGCCCCATACTGCCAGGTCAGTATACCGCAGACCATGCCGATCTCCAAGGCGGTCGGTACGATGTGGAACACCATGCTGGTGAGGAGGAAGCTGATGCCCTTAGTACCGCGGTCGATGGCCCTCGTAAGACCACCGGTCTGCTTGGTGAGATGGAAGTTGAGGTCGAGGCGCAGCAGGTGGTCGAAGACGTTGGCGGCAACTCGGCGTATGGCCTTTTGGGCAACGGAAGCGAAGACGGCGTTGCGCAGCTCCTGGAAGACAGTAGCGCTGATACGAGTAGCCCCGTAGGCGAGAATCATGCTGCCGGCGATGGTGGCGGCAGTGCCTCCCGTTGCGCCGATGTCGATATTCATGGCATCAACAATGTTCTTGAAGTAAAAGGGGACCTGTACATTCAGCACCTTGGCGCCGACAAGCAGGATGACGGCGAGAGAGACGCGCATCTTGGTGTCCATGCTGCCCTTGCCCTTGGGCCACAGGTAGTGGGCCATCTCCTTCATGATGGCCCAGTCGGCCTTGCGCTGCTCGTGGGTGCTCTTGTCGGGCGTGGCCAAGGGGTCAGCTTGCTTCTTCGGGGGCTTGATCGTAGTCGCGGTCGCGGTCGAGGTCGATGCCGATTGCGATTGCTTGTCCGACTTCGCATCTCGGGCATAGTGGCCAAAGGGGGCAGTCGACTGGGCTCCGTAGAGAGCTTGGGGCCTGGGATCGTGCCATTGTTTCCTCGCTGAAGAACATTGTGAGCTCGGCGTGATTCGCCTACTGTCAGATGTCGATGTAGATGTCGATGTAGCTATAAATGCAGATCGAGACGGCGGGGCGAAGCGCGGAGATGCTGGCGAGGGCGAGGCGAATGTGGCACGGCGGCCAAGAGGGAGGCAGTTGAAGGGGGGGCAGGGGGCTTTGGCCCTCGCCAGATTCATCGTCATCATTCTACGTCGTGGGTGCAGGCCACCATGATTGACTGATGATGAGTGTAACTCGCCCGGTTATCTGCCCACTTTACGCGACTGGAATATAATATGTGCAGCGAGGGAGGTAGGTTAGATACCTTAGGTCTGCAGAGAACCTTGAAGCAGCTCGGTATGCTGATGGCGGTCACAAAGCACTCTTCCCCCCAGCTTCAAGATGTCGTCCAAAAAAAGCTGTCCCGCTGACCGAGGGGTCGCGTACCTGCCACCACTTCCGGCGTCTTTGTCTACCTCGGTGAGCAACACTGCGGTCGCGTTTCGCACAACCTCGCTGAATCAAGCCACTGTTGGGTGTACGCGATGGCAAGAAGACGACACAGCTTAGAGATAGGTAGGTAGTTGTTTGAGTTCGTGTAATGATAGATGGAGGGCCAAATGGCTAATGTTCTGGTTTAGAGAGGGAAGCGGATTTCGAGACATCGGCAGCAAATGGCGTCTTACGTTCCAGGTTGGAAGTGTCAGGGGTTCAGTCCCCTAAGGAGCCCTGAGTTCGGTCTGTTTAGGGGACCGGGCGGGCGCCAATTCAGGGTGCTGTCGGGGCTCTAAACGGCAGTGTTAGACCCCATACGTCAGTTCCGAAGCAACCAATTTACTGCCTGCGGGTCTCCCGTCATCCGTTCCCGACACAGCTCTAACACAGCTCGACAGCATTTCAGCCTCAACTGCCGTGTCCGAGGAACAACCCCGGACCTTTCAACCAGCCTGGAGTTGCACTGCGGGTTCGTCTGCCCTCTGCCGCGAGGGCATAGCCTCGATAGTGTAGTTGTCAAGGTATCTAGACAAGTGTCATCCACCCTCTCGACAGCCACAGGAGGACAGCTTGTCCTAGAGGGCGAGGAGGAACTTGTGGTGTCGCAATTGAGATCACGCTCTCTGCTCGACACAGATGTCGTGCCACGCAGACACACAAAGACAAAGACAAAGGGATTGATTCTGTAGAGTCTGCACGGCATGGCCAAACGTAGGCCATATAGCACGCATGCCCTCACCGCGTAATATTCGTCCATCAAGTGTGTCTGGGATGATACCATAGCACCGCTGGTTTCTTAGGCCGGTCGATCCGAAAACACATCGTGGATCGCTGTGTACAACGCATATTAGCAGGTGCTCCCTCACTGCAGTCTCATCAGTTCGACCATAGTCGATTCGAGATGAACGTGGCCATCTTCACTGACATACACCTGGCTAGCGACAGCAGCGAAAAAATTGTAGCTCTTCAAAGGGGCCACGATGCTCGAATAGAAACAACGAAACGACCAATCGTCACATTGGTGCCGTCTTAGGAATTGCTCTCGACCGTATCGCCATCGATCAATTTCTGCCTAGAATCAACACACGAAGGCGCTGATAATGTCTGGAAAGAATGTGTAAAATGCAAAAAAGGTCGAACTGGGAATCGAACCCAGATCCCCGGAATCAAAATCCGATGTGATAACCATTACACTATTCAACCGTCTCAAGATGCCTCATCTTGATTGGCCATTGGGATAGCTGCTTAGATGTGTTTAGCTATATAGATGCACTCTATCCCCACCAAACCTTGAAGATGTAAAAGCCCACCTACCTCGCAGCGCCCGCCAAGTTATGTACTCCTTTGTCGCCAAACGAAAGATACGCATCAGCCAGCATCATAAGTCCCGATTCTCGTTAGTAATCTTCCCGCATCCAGATCCCCAAACGTAGTCGAAGCAGTGTTGCTCCCCAGTTGGGCCGTGAGAGGGAACAGCAGTCCCGTTGAAGGCGCAAGCTCATAGGAAGCACCAACATGGGCACGCGGGTCTCTTATATTCCATGCTGCCTATAGGAGACCTTCTGTTGATCCTTTGACATTCACTGTCGAGAAAAGCGAGACGAGATGGCTCGCTGAGGCCTTGCCATGCCTGCGCATTGCGACTGATCCGTGCCCTGACAAATGGCGGTGACTTCGTGGCCGAACGCTGCTGGCCAGCTGAAGGGTCCCCGATCCACACTACCCGCCTCACCCACGAACGTCCGTCGTCTCTCGCCTCCAGACGTGGGCCTACATCGACGGACCACGGTGGAGATGCAGCTCCTCGACGGCCATTGATAACGCCTCGACAGCGCAGCCGATGCATCTCGGTGGAGTTGCAGCGTTGGGCACACAGATGACACTCTCGATTCTTGACTGCCGCCCATTCCCAACCTGCCCCGAAGGCGGTCGAGCGGCCATGATCCCCCGGCACCCCCCCAAGCATCGATTCCTCTTGAACCCGGACTAGGGCTGCTTCCGCCATGTTCTAGTCCTTTTCTACCATCTCTCGACGTCGCTCGTTTGCACTCTTGTGCTTCTTCTCCCTTTCTCTTTCTCTCCCTCTCTCTCCAGACTCTTTGTCTCGTTAGAGATGGGAAACCGTGATCGATCTACGCTCCGAAGTGACTCCGGCTATGGGGACGATATCGCCGTCGAACCGGCGACCGCTCGTTGTCCGACTGACCACCCTTTGAGTAAGCATTCTCAAAGATGCGAGAAAATCGGCCGGCATTATTGCTAACGTGTCTGTTAGCTCTGAAGGGGTACGACGTTGGGCCGGTGTCGAAACTCCATGTCGGTGATGTGAGTTTTGCTCGCCATGAACACACGTCGATACTCAAGCTAAAGCATGGCAGGTATTCGAGTTTCTCTGGGCCGATGTAGAGCAATATCAGTGGGAATGGAAATGCTTGGGATACACTCGTTTCATCGTCCTACGCCATAGCGAAAGCTTCCCTCATCGTTGCGTCTGCATGTAAGTGCGCTCATGGAACGGGGATGACGGCATAGACAACACTACTCACACTACTATCGAACCCTTTTCACGACGCTGTATTCCATCATGCTACCAACGCTTGCTAACGTGGATCAAGCCCCATTTCAACAGGTGGAATGAGCAAGCAGGACTTTGCCAAACCAGGTATCGACAGTTTCCAGCAGGGCTTCGTCTTCGCCAATGGGGAACCCAATCCGGGATACGAGCAGCCAAAGGGCGGGCCCAAGCTCCAGTACTCGGCGATCGGCATCGAGCTGCGCCCCGGGAAAATCCGCGTCAAGGAGGATTCCCGTGCCAACTATGCCGACATCATCGAAGTGGACCACGAGGCGCAGGTCATGGTCATTGGCGACGTCGTCAAATATTTCGATCGCGTCAGAAGGAACGTCAACAAAGCTTTCATGCGGCAGATTTTACGAAAGGCGTTGGAGAAGTATCAAGCCGAGAAGAACAACGCTACGCCTCCCAACCCGACCGAAAGTCTCCTGTCTATGGATGGTGAGCCGGGGGGTGCCGATTGCCGACGAGAGTACGACCCAGATCTGTACACGCTGAACGAGGGCCCGACGGATGACGAGGCGGAAGTGAATGACGCCCACGATCCGTGCGAAAAGCCGTATCAAAGCCAGGAAGCCTCTCCCGTGCAGGAGTCGGAGCCGCAGCCTTGGAGGCACCCACAAGAGTATGCCACGTTGCAGGAGGTCCAACCCCAGGCCCCAGAAAGAAGTCCGTCCTCACCCGGGAAACGAAAGGGAGGCACATCGCTGATCCCCGAGAAGAGAGAAAGTAAATCCGAGAGCAAGCGCGAGAGGAGACCGTCGTCGCCCGAGGAGAAGCGCACGAGAGCGCAGAACGCCGCGCTCGAGAAACCACTCCTGGTATTGGACCGAAGATCCAGCTATGAAGACAACAACCGCCGAGCGAGCAGCAAGGGACCCGCGGAACATGGTCCTGACTATGACCTTCGATCGATGCACAACGTGGCGATGGCCAAGCTCAAGTGAGATAGAGCATGATGGAGATGGATTAAGTACCGGTTTTTGTTTTCCTTGTTATTTCTTCGGCGTGGCCCCCTCTTCTCTCTCTTCTCTCTTTTCTCTCTTTCCTCTTTGCTCTCCTCTGCTCTACACTGCTCACCCACGCATCACGAGATTGCATGACTTGGGGCGTATGGCGAAGGCTGAGGGCATGGCAGTGGGAAATAACATGTGTGCGGTGCATACCCATCTATCCGGCAGATAAAGGCTACTACTTCTGTTTACAAACACAAACCCGGATCGTATGGAACACGAGTTGTATTGAACTCGTCGCGAATGGCATGGCACATAAATACTTTAGAATGACGAATAATGACCACCTACAACTCAGGCTATACATACTAATGATATCCGCTAGGCATGTCTAGGTCAACGTAATTGGAGTCTCTCCGCTGGGCGTCGTGTGACCAGCATGTGCATCTCAGGGAAACCACTCTGTACATTAAGTGCAATAAGTTATGTGGGATGTGGCGATTTGGCGTATGCAGATACCTTATAAGATCAATGGGCATCGAAAGGAGCAAATTAGCAATTACAATATTTCCCATTCAGCGACATGTACTTTTATATTGTCGTGAGACTGTCTAGCCACAATGAGTTGTCTCTATCAGGGTTGCTAGGTTATATGCAATGTGCACATTTTTTGGTTACTTTTCGTAAACAGATTATAAGAAAGTAGCACTCGCTACGAACTTGTTTAACATACATACAACTATAAGATTAAGAGAACTTAGCATCCCGTTCACTTCGCTTTAGATTTAGCTTCACCTCGCTAGATTAGTACCTTGGCGTTTATATTTCTAATACTAAAGCCTCTCAATACTATCAGATAAATAAGAGGATGTCATTAACTTCTGTTCGAAGATTCCCCATTATTTGAGCACATGCGGCTTCCGGTACATAGGTATAACTATTCCCCATGGAGAATACATATGGTACTCTGTTCTGCCATCCACTCTGACCTGTTCAAAGGAGAAATGAGGCCAATGGTACAAGAAGTAAGCGAAATGACGGTACAGGAGGCTGGATGCTCGGGCAATACCTGGCAGTTTATGTTAGCTTCTGTTCGGCCCTGTCCGGCGGCAGCAAGTTTGTGGTTCGAGATTTTCGATAGGTATATACGATCGGCACTATACCCTCCAGCTTGATGCTGAATATACGGGAATGCGCCTGGCATCTGCAATGGAGTGACAAGTCAAGATGGGGACCCAGATCCGTCTTGCATGATGAAAGCTCAACACAGGCTTACACATTGACGTATAAGACGGTGCAATATTATGCATGTTGAACAGCCTCCGGAAGCACCTGTACAGACGGACCTACATATCATCTAGAAGGTTGCCTGGCCTGCATCCCGCTCGCCAGAGTCAAACGGTGACCAATGTCTTACTTGGTGGCACCACCTCTTTTTTGACAGGCCAACATGTGCCAGACCGATTATGAATTGATATTTGCGGTACGAACTTTCTAAAAGCACATATGTGCATATTAGGTGCTCACATCGTAAAATGAGTAGCGAGGAAAGCTATCTCGGGGCTCCTAAGGCAATGGGTGGAAGGCAAGCCGAGTATTTCTATATAAACTGTGTTGACCATGAATCATCGATGTACACGTCAAAGTGGAGCGTAATGGAAGAAGTGTAATGGCCTAAACCCTCGTGGACATCATATGACAGAGGTATTTCTTAATTTCTTGCTAATTCCAACTACATATTCCTTTTGATTCATCCATCTGGGAGGTATTCGTGATGTTACTCGAGGCTTACATGTATCTGGTAACCAAGCTTAACAAGGATAACCACACCATGCCTAGCTTCCAGATATCTCTAGTCTTTTTGAGAGTTCATGGCGCCGCAGCATCGGATTTTTGGCTTGTTAAGTCTGCATCAGATGCAGGAGTTTACAAGCTCTAATAAATACCGCAGTGGTCGGAATCCGGAGGCTATCTTGTCAAACTATGGTATGATCTACGAGCGAAGCACTATAGCGCCCATGCATACATTCCAGCGGGCCGCCGTCTCAAGCCAAGTCCCAATGAATTGTGTGGCGTTTAACGTAGTATCTTTGACTCATTCGTAGGGCAGAACTACAGGAGTCCTAGTCATGAAGCTATATAAGGTTTGTACAAACAATTCGAGCATAACTTCCCGACCGGTGTGACTCAGGAGCGGGGCAGGGGCGACATCTTAAGCCTGATTGGGTTCAATGCCGAAAGCGCGAGGTGGAGTGCGAAAGACCCTTTCGAGCCTTCCAAATTTTAACCTAGTACCAAATATGTTTCTCGAGTTTGTTCAGATTCCAGAACCAGCGGACTGAAGGGATCAGCATTCTGGATAGATCCGAGTTGCCTTGTTGCTGGGGATATGAGAAGCGGAGCGGGTAACCAATGAATAAGCTGTGTAGTGATTATTTCAGTACTGGTATGGCATTGACACAAAAGTGTCATATATAAACTGTACTACTGTGAAGATTTGGCATGTCGGCCAAACCAAGATACCTAATGAAAGATCAAGTTAGACATAGATTCAACTGAGAACTCGATAAATATTGACTCTTAGGCCAATTGCTCGATAACATCAATGTGAGGGAAGTAGAAATAGGTTATAACTCAGGTAATATTGACATGACGAGCGGCAATTGTTCTCGCTG